TAGTTCAATGTCATTTTTTGTCTTTATTATCAATCTATTTATTCAATCCCATGATAATATTGATCAGTAGCAATCAAACTCTCATTCTTGTATTTTTCTCAAGAGATTTAACTTTAACATGACACTATCATTTATGTTTCATATTATATATTCGTCCAATTAGTTAAATCAACCAATATTATTATTTTAAACAAATAAAACGAACATATATTATGTGTCTAATGATTAAAATAAGAATTTTCATTGTTTAACATTTATTGAAATAAATCTATGTATGATGTTTAGGTTAATAGTTAAGTTTGTTAAGATAAATAAATGATAAATTTGCCGTTTTCTATAATAGTCACCTTAATAGAATTTATCTATTCGTTGAATAAGTTGAATGATATTATTCGACATATATGTTTCATCGGAAGTATTTGTCAAATTGAATTAGTTTATTTTATCGAAAACAATATATTTATTCGATGATTAACTATTCCCATGTTATTTAATATAGACATATTGGAATTTACTTTTTTTTTTCTTTTTACATTAAAAAATAAAACTGATTAAATTGAATAAGATATTATTATCTATGAAAACAACGATAGATAACATCATTCTTGATTACGATGTTTTACTTAAAGAAAAAAAAAATCTCTTCTGCTGTTTCACAGTGATGTTCTGATTTCCATAGTTCAATATAACAGAATTGATAGCGTCATAGATCGAATAAATGACATTAATAAATAATTAAAATAATGAACAGATAAAATAAATCAATATCGAATTTAACAAAAATTATTTTGTCTTCTCTTAAATTATATTATAATCAAGCTTTTTTTTTCCTTTTTATCTTTTTAAATTGATATTTATTATAGATGTCAACTTTTCAAATGATTCATTTTACTATTAATATAATAAAATAAAAGTTAATCATTATTATTATATATCGTTGAGTAGCGATTGTTAAACATCAAAAGAAATCTTGTAAATATACTAGATTTTTAAGATAATATTTGTCATTCGTCTTCTGTTGAAATAATCTTGAATATTTGATTTGCATAAACCATTTTGATCACGTAGATGTAAACATAGACTTTTCAATATTTTTATTTTCAGTCATTTTCATTTGTTTTTAAATTTTTTTGAACGACAAATGCAATATAAATGATAAAAATCCCCTGAGACTTATTCAACAATGACCATATGTTGGATAAAAAACGTATGAAAACAAAATGTTTGTCAATTGATGACATAGATATTCAAACTGTTGATGATAATCACTAATTATAAATAGATAGATATAATACCTGTTCAATAAATAACATAGATAAAAATAATAAGTCAATGAAATCTTTTTAATTAGTCTTTTCAATAAATGAATAAATTAAAAAAAAAAAAAGAATTTTATTTATTCATTTTATGTTCAACCTATTCAATTCAATTATCATTATAAATTACTTAAATAAATTTTTATTAAAATAAATTCGATTATATATATATACAGAATATCGAATAGTTATAGAAGAAAAAAAATCCATATCGATAAATAATATTATTATTAATAGACTTATTTTATTTAAACATCTCTATAGGTTAATAAGTCTTCCATTTGTTTAAGAGAATAGACTAATGGATTGAATTAAAATCAATTATTTATTTTGTTCATATCTAGATAATCACTTTTATTTTCTATACTACCGATAATTATCTCTGTCAAACTTATTCTTTCGTTTCTAGTTAGATCTGTAACTTGTTCCTATTGAAATTCTTCAACAAGAACAACAACAATAATAGAATCTTCATTAATATCACACACTCGAACTATATCAAATATATTAACATTATATACATATATGACATAGTCAATGATATTTATTATCTTTACTTTGAATTTTATTGAATAAAAAAAAAATGAAAAGAATAAATTAGTTAGAATTCGATCTCTCTTATTAAATCATTCGACTAGTTCCTATAATAAACAATAACAATTCTTAATATAAGTAAATGAACTTGTTGAGGAGAATGTCTATTTATGAAAATCGTTTAATTTGTAATAATAGAAGATAAGAAGAGTAAAAGAAAAAGAAAATATCGCAATATTGCTCGGTATGTTGATATTACTGATAGATAATTAAAAAGCATAAAGATTTATTATTGTAATAAAGTGTTATGTTGTTGATGTTTGAGTTGATAATGATGGAGAATAAGAATGATTAGGTAAACTAAATAATTGTCGATTTTTTGCTTTAGCTGCTCGATCACGTTGTCGTCGATTTTTAAACCAATTTGCAACTTGTGTTGCTGTTAATTCAGTTATTTGTGCAAGTTGACGTTTTTTTATTGGATTTGGATATGGATCTTCTAAATACGATTTTCGTAATAATGAACGTGTTCGTTCTTTGAAACAATGACTTTTTTCTTCTCCATCCCATATTGTACGTGGTAATGGATATTTTTTTCGTACACGATATTTATCAACCTATATTAAATAAATAATATTATTTAATATATATATATATATATATATCGAAATATAATATTCATACTGGTCCTAATGGTCTTCCACGTAATTTTTCAGCTTCTTGATAATGTGCTTCCATCCACATTGTTTGTAATTTTGTATGATGATTACGTGTATATTTATAATTTTCTAATAAATGATAAACTTCTTGATAATTTCCCAAATGAAAAGCAATGAGAGCACGTGCACGTAAAATACTTTCATGTTCAATTAATATATTTGATGATGTTGGTGAAACTTGTAATGACCACAGAAATCTTCCTAATCTTTGAATATCACCATTTTCTTCTAATGTTTCACAGACACGAGCTATTTGTTCAATAGAAAAATTAACTATTGGTAATATTGGACAAGATGAAGAACCTATTTCAAATAGACTTATACTATACATTGGATATAAACAATTAAGAGAACTATTTGAAAAAAGAGCAGCAGCAGCAGCAACTGCTGTTTGTTCTTGAAAAAATGATGATACTGTTGAACAATCTGAATGATGGGATATTGGAGAACGAGAACAACCACTTGATGAAATAGATGATGAAAGAGCATCCACATTCGCTAAAAGCGAATGCGGTGCTGAAATAAGACTGTTCAATGATAACGTTTTAACGATTTCTGTTTGTTAATAGTAATTAAAATAAATAAAGATAAACTTGTTAATATTGTTTTTATATAAATTGTTTTCTGCTTATTGAAATGCAATAAATGGACAGATTGAATCTATATGATTTAGTTATTAGTGTCTATGACTAAACTCTCTTTCTCACTTTCCTTTCTCTTAGATGTTTTGTTTTTGTTGTTGCTGATCATCGAATTGATTTCGAGTATGATTTTCTGTATTCTCTTGTGTCTCTTTGCGATTGCTTGAAATAATTGTCTTATATCTATAGTCTAATCAGTGTCGAGATGAAGGATGAGATTTCTTTTCTTCTATCTTGTTTACTATTGGATAGTCGATTAATTTTCTCTCTTCATTTATGTTAACACTAAAACTTGATTAGTATTATGAATAATATTGATTTGAAGAGAAAAGAATTCCTAAAGGTATGAATCAATTGTTTGTCTTCGATTGAAGATGTGATCAATTGAAACAAATAAATTATTTGAATATTAATGATTGATTGTATCAAACAAGAGCAAAAAAAAGATAAAATAATTCAATGATTACTAATTAATAGTTAATAGAATTGAAAATTTATAAAAAAAAAAGAAAAGTAAAATAGAAACATCATGATAGTATTAATCGGATTTAACATATTAACAAACTAATTAATTGAAAAAACAACGATTAGAGAAATAGTTTATCTTCTGATTTATTTTTATAAATCGAAATGTTATTTGTCTGATAATATTGAGTTGAATGGACAAGTTAAAAATGATTTATTTTATTGGAATTTTATTTGTTTATAAATGAATAATTTAATATTGTTTGAATATAAAATAATGATAATAACCATCGATACTTTGACCATTTCTTATTGTAGGTTAAGAAAAAACAAACATGATAGATTTTATTTTAATTTGATCAACATAATTTTAGTAAATTTTGAGTTAAGAAAACTAGTCATATTTGATATAAAAAGAAAGAGACAATTAAATATATCATGGAAATACACATGTTTATGATTTCATTTAAATATGTTCTTCCTATTGAATATTAATCAATAGAAATGTTTCTCTTCCATTATAAAAAATAACTTTAATAATAATTAAAAAGAAAAGTATCAAATAACTTTTTTGATTTTCGTTAATTTATTGAAAAAGATTATTTTGTCCAGTTGTTTTGTTTAATTAAATAGTGACTCTTGTCAAAAAAAATCTTTCTAAAAATAGTAAAATTTTCAATGAATGTAAATAATATCTCTAGTGACATTTGATTATATTATGTATAAATATTATTCATGGACAAAAAAGTTCGTTCTCTTTCTTATTTCATATCATAGATAATTATTTAGTAAATATCTATAGATTAATTGTCAACATATAGAAACCGAACAATAAGAGTTTGATTCATCTAATGAAATAGTGAATAGGTTTTCTCGGATTGTCTTTGTCGTTTTGTTCGGTAAAATAATATAGTTCGACTTGTAATGTACATGTCACTTATAAAATGTTTAAAAAAAGCGTGATATTAAATCTCGAAATTCACTATTTTTAAATCGAATAATATCCAATTAAAGAAGTTTATCATATGAGTCGATTTTTATTGTTAATGTATGTCATGTTTTTTATTTTTATTTTTTGAATCTCTATAGAAGGAAGAAGAAATAAGGGCAGAATGATATTGATAGATAAGTCAAATGAATAATTAAAGGACAGATTAATTATTTGTTTATTGAATAAAAGAAAAGAACTACGAAGAAAAATCGATAGAGAATATTCGATAAGGACTTATGTCTAGTAAAAAAAAAAGAAAGCTATTTGATATAAAAACAAGTGTGAGATGAATGGGCATGATGAAAGAATTAAATCTAATGATTTAAAAAGTGTTAATTTGTCTTTATCGAATATAAATATGTCAATTGATTAAATAGATTCGACTAATAATATAAGTGAAGATAATATTCAATGAGTTAAAAAGAAAATATTTCAAATTTAATTAAATAGAAGATTTATTTTAATTTTCGATTTTGTCAAAATAAACAAACGTCAGATGAATAGAATATATGAATATGATTATATGCTAACGATAATCTAGTGATCAAAATTTTAAACAATAATAGTTTTTTGTTTATTTGTAATCTATCGAATTTAAAAAATTATTTCGGTTGTACAGAGTTACAATAACTAATATACTTGTTAACTGATATTTGAAATTAATACATTGAAAGTTTTATTTGTTGAATATGTTCATTTATTAATGCATGTATATATAAATTTCTTAAGAATAAGAAGAATATGTTTCCATGATTATAATTCATTTAATTAATTATTGTTTTGCATAGAGAATAATCTTTTGTTACTAATGAATTATATATTGATTTATAAATTTTTAAATAAATAATTGTCAAAAAAAAAAGAAATTCTTTTAAAATTTCTTAATTGTTATTATTGATTTAATTAAATGATGAAATATTTCATATTACTATATTATATTTTACTTTAATGGATAGGCTTCAGTAGTATTTATTGAATATTCTATTATAGACTTCTGAATTGGTCTCAGTGAAAATTTTATTTGAATTGATTGTTAATTAGTTAAATCTAAGTTGAATATAAATGAAAAACTGAACTTATATTCATATTTAATGAAAATTCCTATTGAAAAATTTCAATGTATTTCAGTATTTGAAAAAAGTGAAAGAATTTTGTTAAACAAATTTATTGATAATAAAGTAATGTTAGATGAAAATTTATCGAATAAATAGAAAAAAAGATAATTAATTCTAGAAATATAAAATATGATTAACTAGACATGTCAAAATAAAATTTCAATGAAAATAATTTATATTTGAAAAAAAAATCGAGTATGAATAACATATATTTGTTGCTTGTTCAATATCATTAAAAATAATTTGTGCAAATCGTTTTGTGTGTTTTTTGGAAATGAAGAATTTTCGAAAATATCACTTTCTATTTTCCTAAAAGTTTTCTTATTAATAGAATTATTATAGAAAAGCAATGAGTACGATATAATTATATAGAGAGATATTTGCTTTTTCTTTTCAAAGATTTATTCAGAATTCATAAAATGAAATTGCCACAGAAATCGTGAACATAAATTGATAAAGAGTACAATATTCTCTATTGATTTCCTTAATCGGTAGAAAGATGAAGGAACATTTTGTCAAGAAGCTTTCATATTATCGAATAGTTCGAATTTCTTCAGACTCAATTAATCTTGAGATGACTTAAAGAGTGAAATCTCTGATAGATTTTCTTTATAAAAGTTTTATTTTTTGTTCTAATTAATATTCAATGGTAAGTATTAAGTTGTTTATCTATAAATCTAAAAACAAAATAACATAATTCAATTATTTTAATATTAATTTTTTCGAAAGACGAAAGCAGACAGTTGTTCTTATAGTGCATTATGTTTATAATGATAATAGACTTATCTGAGATTAATATTAATTTGACGTTGATCTGAAATCCATCAATTTTAATTGAAAATAAATATTCATTTTCGAATGTTCTATTGACAATTGAATCATTGAGTTGTTAATTTGCTGACTATCTTCTATGTAGAAAATAACTTCAATTATTATTTTGTATTTTCCAATATCGAAGATTTACTTTGAAATGATAAGACAGTTAAAATCGATTCGACTTCTAGTATGAATATGTATTTGTTATGATATTATATGAATTTTATAAAGATTAATTTAATTCATTGAACAATAACACACAATTCGTCGTCATATTTTTCAAATATGCCAACTTCGTTTTGTCAAACAAGCATTTATCATTATTTCATTCGAATCAACTTTATATGATCACTTATTTAATATTCAAGTAACAATTTGTTTGTCTCAAAGCTATGAAACACAATGCATTCATTGAAAATAAATTTATTTTTGAGTTGTTTTTGTTGAATACTAGTCACTACTTTATTATGAATACTAGAAAGTAACTAACTTATACTTTAGATGATTCAATATCGAATCAATCCATTTAATTGTCATATGAATTAAATGACATGAACAACGGAACAAATACATCTGATCACTAGTTTTCGATATTTGTATTAAACACTAATGTCGGCACCAGAAATAAAAAAAAAAAGGTAAAACTCAAAGACAAATATTTTGAGAATGGCAACAGTTAGCAATCCGCAGTTTTCACTAATGGAAAGAGTAGAAGTCAAAGTATCTTTTCCCTCGATAATATATAAGACGACATCCTTTTAAAACTAATCATCTTTGAAAACCATGAAAAAGAGTACATGAATATGACCTGCCATCTAGACAAATTTTGGTTTCGACCTTTGATTTCTATAGAGACACTTCAGATCTACAGTTCAAGATACAACGCAAATGGAACCATCTATTTACATGCACAAGTAATACGGAGTTTTCCTGATTTTTTTACTAAGTTTTCACAGTTTTTATCATAATAGCCATACATTTGGATGAAAATTTAATGAAAAGTGAGAAAGCACGTGGTGCATTGAAATATAGATCTAAAGTGGGAGTGGGTGTGGATGTTGGAATGATTGAAAGGATCATCACACGCACATTCCATATCCACCCACACCCTATTATTGCTGACTGTATTCTTCAAATACTCGAAAAACTTATCGGTTATCTCAACAAATGGGTATTTATTTATGCAGCACTTACCGGTCAAACATTTGTTCAAGCTGGTCGAAGCTTTATTGAGTTGTTTAAAAATTGTGGTTGGACAGCAATTATCAACGATATGCTCGTTGGAACTATCATGATGGTTATCAATATTGCCATAGGCCTCACTTTCTCTGCAGCAGACGGGCTCTTGATCTACTTTTTTTTTTGCCCGATTCTGCAAAAAAAATTCCAACGATTATTATTACATCATTCATCAGCTTTCTAATCAGTACATTGATGAGTGCAGTTATGGCATCACTTTTAAGTTCTTGTGTTCGTACAGTATTCGCAAGAGGGAAACGGCAGACTTTGTACTTGAAGATAATTTACACTACTTAAACGCACTTCAAGCTACTTTAAAGTACTTTTCTGTAATTTTAAAGTACTTTGATGTACTTCAAGTCTGCCGTTTCCTTCTAGAGTATTCGTCTGCTTTGCTCTCAATCCGGCAGCACTCGGTGCAACCCATTCCGATCATTTGCAAGCTTTAACCAATGCTTGGCACAAATTTTATCCGCACGAATTTGCCACCAGTGGCTATGCTCAACATTTACCGAAGCCAATTATGTCAAAAGACATTTGAAAACTAGTTTTTAATCTATGTTTCTAAGAAATAGAACGCTTGTAGTGCATAGAAACTTCAAGTAGAATGTCAAATCAATTTATAGAATAAATAATCATATATTTGAAGGAAATTTTTATTAGATGTGCAGGCGGATTAGTATAGAATATACGATCGCATCTTCTCAACTATACCAGAAGAAGTGACAGTTGAGAAACAACAAGTTCTAATAAATTCAGGTCCCATTAATATAATTTTGCAATCAAAGGAGAGCCAAGAGGTCGATCTGTCTTATCGTGAGCGTCATACCTGACGAAAGGTGATGACTTGCTGCTAGCCTATAGTTTTCAACGCAAAAATGATATCTGACTGTTTTCTGTTAAACAGAAGCTCAAGTTGAAGCAATGAAAACTACAATCTATGACTGTATCTGAAAGATACTGTTTCATTGCTAGAATAAATGTATTTTCATCAAGAATTGACTACTGCTAAAATAATAAAGATTATTCTAATAATTTACCCATTCAAGATCACACAATGAATAAACAACATCATGAATAACAATACTGGCTATAGCCACTATGTCTATGACAGTATACGTGTTGCATTGAGTTATATCAGAGTGCGGATGTGCGTGGTGAACACGGATCGGGTGATGACTATAGCTAGACCCGCACCCTATATTGGTGAAAATGAATTACTTGAAAAATTCTTTTTTATTTAAAAGAAAGATATTGAAAAACAATCTGACATGCACTAAGAAGTCATTCAGAGAAGAGCATCAAACAATATCACTCTCAGTTTCTTGCATTATATATTGATTAGCGATTTATTTTTCCAATGAGTGTTATATTTCAATAAAGAATTTTGAGCATCAACACACTATATTTCATTTTATTAATCGTATATTAAAATCATTTATGTGAATTAAATCATCTCACATTGTGATGAAAAGATTTAATAAAAGTGTCTCATTAACATCAATCAAAGAGTAATATACACAAGTTATCAAAATTCACTAAAATTGAGCGCCCTCTAGTCATTTATCCTTTATTAAGAAGGCTAAAATACATTTTACGCAATGGCTATTTTATGTGTAGATTATCTCAAGCTTTTTTGATCGTTGTTTCTTCTGTGTAAAGCTAAAGTTATGTTTAAGAAAAAGACAGAATAGAATCTTCTTATTTCCATATCAAATAACACAGTGAGTGCAAAATAACTTTATCAAAAAAAAAAATTCGAATTCATTTTGATGAAGCTTTTAATGCTGTCTTCACATAATCGACTAGAACAACATTAACTATCCAGTGAAATATAAAACTAGGTGTATTTAAAAATTGCACTTAAAAAAATGATTACCAATTTGGTTACATAAAGTTTTTTTAACTAAATAAAATAATAGTATTAAACTCATTTTATTTTAATCGTAGATAAATAATTCTATTAAATCAGCTTCAGTTTAAATTAGAATGTATTAACAAATTCTTTTAAACCAAATAATTTTTATTCTTTTTTAAGGTGAAATAAAATAAATAATTCTAATAGGTTAATTTTTTGAGATGAAATTGAATAAGCTAATTAAATTACATTAAAATGGTTCTATATTATATTAATTCAATTTAAAATAAAAATGACACTAACATATAATAAAATTGTTTTTCCTATAATTTCATTCAAAATAAAAAATATTTACATTTCATAAAAAATTAGTTCCACTGGTTTGGATATAAATGAAATAGTTAAATTAAACTAAACTAAATCCAAAGTTTTTCATTATGATGTGAAAAAAATAAGCGTAATATCACTAGTTTTAGTAAAAATAAATAAAAAAACTAATTGAGCAGATATAAATACTATCCAAGAACATCAATAAGGTTTTGAAATCTTTAAAACAAAAACTGCAATGATTTGGAACGTATATATGTGAAGATATCAAAGTTTAGTTGTATTTCGGAAAAGAAATAGAATGTGTATCGTAATGCCAAATTAAAAAGTATATTGACTCTAACGATTTTCTTCATCATTGTCTAATTGACAGCTCTCAATATTGGAGAATTGTTTATGGTACACTTAGAACACTCGACATGTGTTTGGTATGTATACCGCATGCATACTGATGTGCTGTACGCCTACCAAATCGATACCTATCGGCATGGGAATATTCTATTTAGGGTTTTGTTTCATTTTCCTTAGACAGTGTTTATTATGATGCCTTTAGCAAATCCTACGTCTCTTTAACTGTGAATTGCGACAATATCGAACAAAGTAACACAGCTACCATTTGTATTGGTAACAAATAGTTTTCAATCTAGGGTCTTCATGATCGTTGTTGTTGCTATTGTGCTCTTCTATCTTGTCATACTCTGCCATATTAATCAACAGCTATGATACATGACAAAAATCTTATACCTATATTTTATACTAGGATGTTAAACATCATACATTTGCTAGCCATCTTATTCAAAGAGCTGTGAGAAGGAGTAGAAATTTCTTATTCGATAAAGAAACAACAGATCACTTTAGATAGGATTTTGCAAGCATATCTCGATGATGTCTTATTCATTCTTTCAGATTATAGCAAAAACCGAATGTCGATGATTAGAACAACACTATACTTAGTACGCCATGGAAAAACAGAATGGAATACTATGGGATTAATGCAAGGTTGGGGTGATTCACCATTAACTGAAGAAGGTATTCGTGGAGCACAAGCTATCAGAGATGCTCTTAAAACGATTCCTTTCGCAGCTGCTTACACTAGTTCAAGTCAGCGAGCCATCGATACAGCACGAATTATCATGGAATATCATAAAAACATGCCATTGGAAACAGATGAAGATTTACGTGAAATTTATTTCGGCAAGTGGGAAGGCCTCAAATATCGACAACTGGCAATCGAATTTCCTGAAGAACATAGAAATTTGATGCTTCATGCAGATAAATATATACCGGAAAATAGTGGCGGCGAAACGTATCCTGCTATGTTGACACGAATGGAACGAGCATTGAAACGCATTGCTACTAAACATAAGGGTTCTTTTGTACTTATTGTTTCGCATGGTATGTCGCTGTCAAGTATCGTGAAACATTTACAAGGTGTACCATTGAAAGATCTACGAGTAAACTGTCATCTTCCCAATAGCAGTATCAGTACTATAGACTATGACGAAGACGGTCAGTTTCACATTGCCACCATCGGCCGAACCGATCATTTGCCAGAAGATCTTCGATAACGACTATTGATACATAAACCATGCTTCCGTTGATGTGTATTAATGAGTGATTTATCAGCTTTTTTCAATAAAATATCGTTCATATCTGAAAAATAATGAATATTATCATAAAAATCGAATGAAATGATAGGAACGAGTGCCATAGAAACGAAACTCCTATTACTCTGTCTGTTTTCAATCAATTTGAAATCAAAAACAATCTCAAAATTCTATGTGCCATCAACACTGATGCATCTGCATGGTTTACAAGATGCGATAGGTTGATCTTTCTGATAACAAAGAGTCGTGCAATCACGATTTTGAAATGTTCATGTCTCTTTCATGAAAAAAGAAGCATTGTGCCGAAGCGAAGGATATTCAGTGCTGTCGAATCTAAGGATGAATTTCTTCAAACAGTCAGTTTATCACAAGTATCGTCCACTTGTGCTACTGAGAATTGTATGAATTCAGCGCTTTAAGGGCTAAAAATTGATGACAATCACAGAAATCGTCGTGATGAAACAAGTGAGACAACTTAGGTAAAAATGTTCATTATTCTTATTGTATCATACGAGCCCAGACTCATCCTGTCAATCATTAAAAACCCTCCCAATTTTTTTGCCGAACAATTGTTCATCAGTCAAAGAATTTCTAACTAAACTAGTCTAAGAGAATCATGTTTTTCTTCCGTCCAACGCTGGCTCAAACATCTTAGCTGCACGATTCAATTCAGCACCATTTCATCAAATTTCATTTTCTCGGCTTGTCCAAAGGTAACGCTGTTACATTTTTGACACAGTTTTTCTCGATTATCCCAAAAACTAAAATAACTAGAAATCTCGTTCGAATGCCATTTAACAAAGCTCATCTTGCTTTATGTATACTATAAAAATAAATTATATTTGGTTGAAATTTCGAATTTTCACAAATTCGTTTTGGAAGCGTAACGCTGTTACATAAAAAGAGGGTGTGGGTGTGGGGTGTGCGTGTGCGTGTGGGTGTAAGTGTTAGGAGGAGAATGATATCCATATCTATATCCACATTCACACCCATACCCATACCCACATACCACACCCACACCATCATTTCTTCCTTTCTTTCATTACTTTGATAACATGGGATAGTTGTTGATTTTGCCAACTCAATAATGTGATCAAAGAAAAAAATTATGTTCAGAGACGTCTAGTAAATACAAAATCCAGATCGCTATAATACAAAGTTTATTATATTAAAGAATTCCTCTTAAAAAGTACTTTATAAATCATTCGAATTAAAGAAGTATAATATTAGGATTACATTTTTCCAAACTTGCTTTATTACAAAATACAATAATTTGCTTTTAACCTTTTACAATGAACTGAATTATTGTAAAGAAATTATTCCTTTATTTAAACTGAAATTTATTTGAAAGAAATATCATCGACAAAAATGAAAAATAAAAGATAATTTTTTCTTAGGACAATATCCAAATTGAACAATTGTTATATATGGATAACAATTTAAACTAACGGAAAATAACAGGCAATTATGTTGCTAGCATCTTATAATGTCACAAAAAGATAAATTTTAAAGGATATTAAAAAAATCTCTTTCGAAATTCACATTAGATATTTATTTACAATGGTTCTTAAAAAATTTTTGTTTTGATTTTGATTCTTAAAAATATTTTTTTATTGTCAAACTTTTATATGAAAAATAGAAACTTAATTATTTGAAGAAAAACAAAACCATCAAAATTCTATTTTGATCGTAAATATAAAAATCGCAAACTCAATAACTTGAACAAACACAAAATCATCAAAGCTCTATTTTGATCTTGAATATGATATTATTAACATTATTGTAAATCCAAAATTTTATCCTCTTTCTGAAAACCATTTAATTCATATTAATCACATTATTGATGGATCGCAATTAACAATTAATTTGCTTCAGTTATCAATGCAAATAAAGACACAATATGAAAAAATTGTCAAATGAAATAAATAGTTTTAAAGAAAAGAATTTTTAGAATTTATACAAGCCATTTAGATGTGTTTTAAAAAAATTAATACACATCGTATACAATCCATTATGTTTTGTCTACCAGATTCGAAATGAAATTAATTCATAAAATAAAATAGGTTTATAAACTTTAAATAAAACTACAACCAGCTGATCAATTTGGGTAATAATAAATGGCCGAAAATGAAGCCGAAAACCGAAAGGACCGAAAAACATGTGATTGGCTATCATCCATTTGAATCATATTTATAGATGATTCAAACGAATGATAACCAATCGCATGTTTTTCGGTCCTTTCGGTTTCATTTTCGGCCATTTATTATTGGGAGAGCGACAATTGGTCGAACGACAGTTAGTCGAACGACAATTGGGCAACGTCAATTGGTCGTAGCGACAATTCGGTGCTACTACAATTAGTCGCAATGTAAAATTGGTCGAATATTTAATAGAAGTCTAGTTCTTTTTCACTTCTCCACAAACTTCAATCTACACACATTAGACTCAACCACACAGCACAGCATGATGGCGCAGGTGGCATGTGAGAAATGTGGATGCTGCCTACAGAATGACAAATAGATGACCTTATAAGTTAGCAGAAATTTGATGCTGACATTCGCCTTTTGGATTTATCGAAATGTTATAAGAAGATGAAAACTATATTCCTCGTAGAATAGCAAAAGTCGCAACAGATAGAAACCTCGAAATAGGGAAAAGTTGTGTGGATCGTGCAAAATGTTTCAAGTAGCTACAACTTGTTCTGGTGTAACATTTTATACACAAATCCAAGAATTCCAGAAACATTCATATTTCCTCTCATATTTGATATCCATGCGCTTGAATAGATTTTTAGACAGTTTCTAGATCTTTGTGTGTTATTTCTTTGCGATCCTAGTAAAATCTTTCGGTAATTTCATTTCTCAGCATTGCGACCAATTCTACCCTGCGACTAATTGTCGTGGCGCCCAATTATCGCTGCGACCAATTGTCGTAGATCCTTTATTGTTACCCGATCAACTTCACTAGCAGACACAAATCCCAACCAACAGGAATAAAACATTATATGTGCCACTAGTTACCTATGATAGCCCACAAAATTCCATAACTAACTCTTATTTAAATTTTCTTTCTTTTTTACATACAAAGCAACTATTATCCCAGTGTTAAAATAACTTTTAACTACTACAAAGGTTTTGTTTTTTCATATTAATTCTTTACTTTTCTTAAGTTGCACCATTCCTGTTTTTATGTAACATATATAACTGTCTCTTCCATTTTCTTTTATTTCAATTTGTTCCATCTCATTTCTAATTTTAAAATTTATATTTTGCTTTATGTGTTTCCTATTGTAATGCAGTGTCCTGAAGAGTGTTTTAATATTTCAATAGATAAACATGAAACGCGTCGGCGTTAAATAAAATCCGCATTATTTTTATTAAATTTAATTCAAGCACATTATCAACGTATTAAAATTTTTTTTCGACTTCATCGATTGCTGAAAAGCAAAAGCTGAGAGTAGCAGATTGATTTATATTATTTAAAAAATATAGATTGATCCGTTTTCAATTGATTAATTTACACCCACACTCTTTTGCCACGGACACATAAACTCATCATCTACTGATAGGCAATCGCTGTTACCGTCACACGTAGAGAATGCATTTAGAATGTCAGACAGCGCTTCACGGCACCTGTGCAAGAGGTCCACGCCTCGTTCATCGGAAGTAAAAAGGTAATTAATACTGCCATCGCCAGCTTTGACTACTAGTAAGTAGGTAATCTCATTGCTATTGTGCTTAAGACAGTAATGCTCGTTCGCTGAGCAGTTGGCCACATGACGACTAATGAAATAAGGAATTTTTTCCAAACAGTCCAGTCCATCACAACCATTAGCTCTATTTCAAACGTTGTCACATCGTGTATCTCGTGCGTTGCAAGGCCACTGATTACAAATCGTTTTGTCAGACTATTCTCCATCTGTATATACCCTTGTAAAATAACCATTGCTCTCAGAGTCATTAGATGTCATCACTCGACGTTACCTTTATATTGATTGTTTTCTTCTTTCATCCTGTATATTTTTTCCTTTTCTGATGTGAGTCATGGTTGACTGTTTTTTTTTGTTCTTCAGATTTATTTTTTCTCTCCATCTCATTTTTTCTTTGAGTTTTTTATTCTTTTTTCCTCTCTTCGTCCGCTGTTGTTGTTGTTTTTAATATCAAATAAAGTAACTGATCGTATTCCAAATAGTTCGCTTTATTCGGACAGTACGACGTCAGAGACATACAGGTAAACTGTTCAAGTTAATGTTTTCTCTTTATTCAACCCGACCCTCTTTACATGTCAAATTGACGCTGACTCTATAAATAGCGGTTTGAGATGTATACCGTAATAGAAAAGCTAACAGCTACGGAGTTTTTATGAATAAAAACTAATTTAAAACCTGTCTTTTATCATCTGTTAGTAATATACATATATAGATAACGATAAACGAGAAGACTAGATGAGCCAAAGAAAAAAACAAAAAAAAGACTTAAGATAAGAGAGAAAAAAACACATGGTTTAGTCATCATTGTGATTCAACTGGTGCGTCATTTATGCAAACAGTCATACTTTTTACAAATTATTTCTGGTTGCGTGCATTTCTCCTCATCATGTTCATTGTTCTGACTACTCGATAGAATGTAAGTAAAAAAAAATTCCTTTTTCTTTTTCTTTTACTTTTTTTCTGTTTGTTATAATGACAAACAATGAAAAAAGGCTAGTCCAAGTAAAAACGTCATTAGTTGTGCGTGCCCATGTCCTTATTGGTAACCGATGTAAAGTTATGAGATGGTTCAATTGAAAAGACTTAAGTGATTTTATTTCTGTGAACTTACAATAATTTTGAGACCGAGTAAATTTTATATTGTATATAACACATTGAAATAAAGTATTAGTATATACTCTAAAAAAAAGGTTTCGTATGAAACCAATTCTCAACACCTGCAATAAATGGTTTCGTACTAAACCTTTTCAAAAAATTTCAAACAAGGTTCCATAGGGAGGATTTCGTACTGAACCTTTTAGACCAGATTGAAAAGAGGTTTCGTACGTGCTAATTCGCACCAAACCTTTTTTGTCATCGAGCCAATAACTGACGAGGCAACCTCCAGAGGTATTCAAGCAGTTTAGTCTCCACCTGGTAAGCGTAGGCAGATCTCGATCAAGTATGGAAAGCTAAATAGAATTCGTGCACGAACTCTTTTTAGCTTTTCATACCTGATCGGGGTCTGTCTACGGTCACCAAATAGAGATTAAACTGCTTGAATAGCTCTGAAGCTTCCCTCATCAGTTAAAAATAACACTTACGCGCCAAGTAGTTTCTCGAATTAGTCTATAGTAAAGAGCAAATGAATTAATTTTATATAATAAAATAAACTTATCCATGCAGCTCATGTATGAGTTGATCTAAAAAGACAAAACAAATATTTTTATTTTCTATAGTGAAACTTACTCATGATTTTGATACAAAAGCTGATTGGAAATAAAAACAAGGTAGTCTGGATTAGATGATAAACATATTCACGAGTGTCGTGTTGTGGTCAATCTGTAAGAGAAAAGAAATTAATTTATTGAATACAACAAACGTACCGGTTAATTTCCAAGGTTTCGGAAAATATTGGGTTCGGCAGTGTTGCTACCAAACCTATAATTATATACAATTAATTAATTAACCCTCATATCACCACCTGTGATCAGCGCATACTTCATGAAGTTTCTTTTCAACATTTTTCATAAACAGTATCTTGAACTAGTCACTTGAATTTGTATCTCAGTAGATGGTAATATGGCATACTAAGAATATATATATATCCGTCTAAATTAGTTGCTGTTAATTAAAACTCTAAAATGAAACTTTTGTTCAAACGTGTTTTTTCATGTGGAGTTCATACGGATCCCAGGTGGTGATATGAGGGTTAATTAATTAGAATACTAGTTTGTAAAAAAGTCCTTACTTACTCATGTGTATTCAGATGCACAGGATATGTTCCACAATATAACAAGACATTTACACAGATTAGGGGTGGTGCATTAGAATTAACATTAGCATTTATTAATACTAATTCTAATGCTTTAGCATTATTGGCATTAGTGTTAAGT